CTACAAATGACCCAGTTTCGTTCCTTTTTATGATTAATATTCCATTGTATATATGTGCCACATCTTCTTTATCCATTCATCTGTCGATGGGCATTTAGGTTGCTTCCATGACCTGGCTATTGTAAGTAGTGCTGCAATGAACATTGGGGTGCATGGGTCTTTTTGAATTATGGTTTCCTCTGGGTATATGCCCAGTAGTGGGATTGATGCATCGTACTGTAATTCTATTTTTAGTTTTTTAAGGAACCTCCATACTGTTCTCCATAGTGGCTGTATCAATTTACATTCCCACCAACAGTGCAAGAGGGTTCCCTTTTCTCCACACCCTCTCCAGCATTTGTTGTTTGTAGATTGTCTGATGATCCCCATTCTAACTGGTGTGAGGTGATACCTCATTGTAGTTTTGATTTGCATTTCTCTAATAATTAGTAATATTGAGCAGCTTTTCATGTGTTTCTTGGCCATCTGTATGCCTTCTTTGGAGAAATGTCTATTTAGGTGTTCTGCCCATTTTTGGATTGGGTTGTTTTTTTCATATTAAGCTGCATGAGCTGTTTATATATTCTGGAGAATAATCCTTTGTCCGTTGATTCATTTGCAAATATTTTCTCCCATTCTGAGGGTTGTCTTTTCCTCTTGTTTATGGTTTCCTTTGCTGTGCAAAAGCTTTGAAGTTTCATTAGGTCCCATTTCTTTATTTTTGTTTTTATTTCCATTACTCTAGGAGGTGGATCAAAAATGATCTTGCTGTGATTTATGTCAAAGAGTGTTCTTCCTATATTCTCCTCGAAGAGTTTTATAGTGTCTGGTCTTACATGTAGGTCTCTAATCCATTTTGAGTTTATTTTTGTGTATGGTGTTAGGGGGTGTTCTAATTTCATTCTTTTACATGTAGCTGTCCAGTTTTCCCAACACCACTTACTGAAGATACTGTCTTTTCTCCATTGTATATCCTTGCCTCCTTTGTCATAGATTAGTTGAAGTTATCTTGTTCCACTGATCTACATTTCTGTTTTTGTGCCAGTACCATGTTGTCTTGATTACTGTAGCTTTCTAGTATAGCCTGAAGTCAGGGAGTCTGATTCCTCCAGCTGCGTTTTTTTCCCTCGAGACTGCTTTGGCTATTCAGGGTCTTTTGTGTCTCCATACAAATTTTAAGATTTTTTGTTCTAGTCCATAAAAAATGCCATTGGTAATTTGATCGAGATTGCATTGAACTGTAGATTGCTTTCGGCAGTATAGGCATTTTCACAATATTGATTCTTCCAACCCAAGAACATGGTATATCTCTCCATCTGTTGGTATCATCTTTAATTTCTTTCATCAGTGTCTTATAGTTTTCTGCATACAGGTCTTTTGTCTCCCTAGGTAGGTTTATTCCCAGTTATTTTATTCTTTTTGTTGCAATGGTAAATGGGAGTGTTTCCTTATTTTCTCTGTCAGATTTTTCATCATTAGTGAAAAGGAATGCAAGAGATTTCTGTGTATTAATTTTGTGTCCCGCAACTTTACCTAATTTATTGGTTAGCTCTAGTAGTTTTCTGGTGGCATCTTTAGGCTCTGTGTATAGCATCATGTCATCTGCAAACAGTGACAGTTTTATTTCTTCTTTTCCAATTTGGATTCCTTTTATTTCTTTTTCTTCTCTGATGGCCGTGGCTAGGACTTCCAAAATTATGTTAAATAACAGTGGTGAGAGTGGACATCCTTGTCTTGTTCTTGATATTAGAGGAAATGCTTTCAGTTTTTCACCACTGAGAATGATATTTGCTGTGGGTTTGTCCTCTATGGCCTTTATTATGTTGAAGTAGGTTCCCTCTATGCCCACTTTCTGGAGAGTTTTTATCATAAATGGGTGTTGAATTGTGTCAAAAGCTTTTTCTGCATTTATTGAGATGATCATATGGTTTTTATTCTTCAATTTGTTAATATGGTGTATCACACTGGTTGATTTACGTATACTGAAGAATCCTTGCAATCCTTGGATAAACCCCACTTGATCATGGTGTATGATCCTTTTAATGTGCTGTTGGATTCTATTTGTTAGTATTTTGTTGAGGATTTTTGCATCTATATTCATCAATGATATCAGTTTGCAATTTTGTTTTTTTGTGGTATCTTTATCTGGTTTTGCTGTCAGGGTGATGGTGGTCTCATAGAATGAGTTTGGGAGTGTTCCTTCCTCTGCAATTTTTTGGAAGAGTTTGAGAGGGATGGGTGTTAGCTCTTCTCTAAATGCTTGGTAGAATTCACCTGTGCAGACATCTGGTCCTGGACTTTTATTTGTTGGAAGATTTTTAATCACAGTTTCAATTTCATTACTTGTGATTGGTCTGTTCATATTTTCTGTTTCTTCCTGGTTCAGTCTTGGAAGGTTAGACCTCTCTAAGAATTTGTCCATTTCTTCCAGGTTGTCCATTTTATTGGCATAGACTTGCTTGTAGTAGTCTCTTAGGATGCTTTGTATTTCTACGGTGCCTGTTTTAACTTCTCCTTTTTCATTTCTAATTTTATTGATTTAAGTCCTCTCCCTCTTTTTTTTGATGAGTCTGGCTATTCGTTTATCAATTTTGTTTATCTTCTCAAAGAATCAGCTTTTAGTTTTATTGATCTTTGCTATTGTTTTCTTTGTTTCTATTTCATTTATTTCTGCTCTGATCTTTTTGATTTCTTCTGCTAACTTTGGGTTTTGTTTTTTCTTCTTTCTCTAGTTCCTTTAGGTATAAGGTTAGATTGTTTGAGATTTTTCTTGTTTTTTGAGGTAGGCTTGTATAGCTATAAACTTCCCTCTTAGATCTGTTTTTGCTGCATCCCATAGGTTTTGGATCATCGTGTTTTCATTGTCATTTGTCTCTAGGTATTTTTTGATTTCCTCTTTGATTTCTTCAGTGATCTCTTGGTTATTTAGTAACGTATTGTTTAGCCTCCACGTATTTGTGTTTTTTACATTTTTTCCCCTGTAATTCATTTCTAGTCTCACAGCGTTGTGGTCAGAAAAGATGCTTGATATGGTTTCAATTTTCTTATATTTACTGTGGCTTGGTATGTGACCCACGATGTGATCTATCCTGGAGAATGTTCCGTGCACACTTGAGAAGAAAGTGTAATCTGCTGATTCTGGATGGAATGTCCTATAAATACCAATGAAATCTCTCTGGTCTATTGTGTCATTTAAAGCTTCTGTTTCCTTATTTATTTTCACTTGGGTGATCTGTCCATTGGTGTAAGTGAGGTGTTAAAGTCCCCCACTATTATCATGTTACTGTCGATTTCCTCTTTTAGAGCTGTTAGCAGTTGCCTTAGGTATTGAGGTGCTCCTATGTTGGGTGCATATATTTTTATAATTGTTATATCTTCTTCTTGAATTGATCCCTTGATCATTATGTAGTGTCCTTCCTTGTCTCTTGTAACATTCTTTATTTTCAAGTCTATTTTATCTGATATGAGTATTGCTACTCCAGCTTTCTTTTGATTTCCATTTGCACGGAATATCTTTTTCCATCCCCTCACTTTCAGTCTGTATGTGTCTCTAGGTCTGAAGTGGGTCTCTTGTAGACAGCATATAGATGGGTCTTGTTTTTGTATCCATTCTGCAAGCCTATGTCTTTTGGTTGCAGCATTTAATCCATTCACGTTTCAGGTAATTATCGATATGTATGTTCCTATGACCATTTTCTTAATTGTTTCGAGTTTGTTTTTGTATGTCCTTTTCTTGTCTTGTATTTCCCACTTAGAGAAGATCCTTCAGCATTTGTTGTAGAGCTGGTTTGGTGGTGCTGAATTCTCTTTGCTTTTGCTTGTCTGTAAAGCTTTTGATTTCACCATCGAATCTGAATGAGATCCTTGCTGGGTAGTGTAATCTTTGTTGCAGGTTCTTCCCTTTCATCACCTTAAATATATCATGCCACTCTCTTCTGGCTTGTAGAGTTTCTGCTGAGAAATCAGCTGTTAACCTTATGGGAGTTCCCTTGTATGTTTTTTGTCATTTTTCCCTTGCTGCTTTCAATAATTTTTCTTTGTCTTTAATTTTTTGCCAATTTGATTACTATGTGTCTCAGCATGTTTCTCCTTGGGTTTATCCTTCCTGGGACTCTCTGCGCTTCCTGGACTTGGGTGGCTATTTCCTTTCCCATGTTAGGGAAGTTTTCCACTATAATCTCTTCCAGTATTTTCTTGGGTCCTTTCTCTCTCTCTTCTCCTTTCGGGACCCCTATAATGTGAATATTGTTGCGTTTAATGTTGTCCCACAGGTCTCTTAGGCTGTCTTCATTTCTTTTCATTCTTTTTTCTTTATTCTGTTCTGCGGCAGTGAATTCCACCATTCTGTCTTCCAGGTCACTTATCCGTTCTTCTGCCTCAGTTATTATGCTATTGATTCCTTCTAGTGTAGTTTTCATTTCAGTTTTTGTATTATTCATCTCTGTCTGTTTGTTCTTTAATTCTAAGCCTTTGTTAAACATTTCTTGCATCATCTCAGTCTTTGCCTCCATTCTTTTTCCGAGGTCCTGGATCATCTTCACTATCATTATTCTGAAATCTTTTTCTAGAAGGTTGCCTATGTCCAGTTCATTTAGTTGTTTTTCTGGGGTTTTATCTTGTTCCTTCATCTGGTACATAGGCCTCTGCCTTTTCATCTTGTCTATCTTTCTGCGAATGTGGTTTTTGTTCCAAAGGCTGCAGGACTGTAGTTCTTCTTGTTTCTGCTGTCTTCCCTGTGGTGGATGATGCTATCTATGAGGCTTGTGCAAGTTCCCTGATGGGAGGGACTGGTGGTGGGCAGAGCTGACTGTTGCTCTGGTGGGCAGAGCTCAGTAAAACTTTAATCCGTTTGACTGCTGATGTGTGGGGTTGGGTTCCCTTCCTCTTGCTTGTTTGGCCTGAGGTAACCCAACACTGGAGCCTACCTGGGCTCTTTGGTGGAGCTAATGGCAGACCCTGGGAGGGCTCACACCAAGGAGTACTTCCCAGAACTTCTGCTGCCAGTGCTCTTGTCCCCACAGTGAGCCACAGCCACCTCCCTCCTCTGCAGGAGACCCTCCAACACTAGCAGGTAGGTCTGGTTCAGTCTCCCCTGGGGTCACTGCTCCTTTCCCTGGGTCACTATGAGCACACTACTTTGTGTGTGCCCTCCAAGAGTGGAGTCTGTGTTTCTCCCAGTCCTGTCCAAGTCCTGCAATCAAATCCCACTAGCCTTCAAAGTCTGATTCTCTAGGAATTCCTCCCCCGTTGCCGGACCCCCAGGTTGGGAACCCTGACATGGGGCTCAGAACCTTCTCACCAGTGGGTGGACTTCTGTGGTATGTGTTCTCCAGTCTGTGAGTCACCCACCCAGCAGTTATGGGATTTGATTTTACTGTGATTGTGCCCCTCCTACAGTCTCATTGTGGCTTCTCCTGTCTTTGGATGTGGGGTATCTTTTTTGGTGAGTTCCAGTGTCTTCCTGTCGATGATTGTCCAGCAGCTAGTTGTGATTCTGTTGTTCTTGCAAGAGGGAGTGACAGCACGTCCTTCTACTCTGCCATCTTGTTTCCTAATCTCTCCCTTCTTTTTCTAATCTTTTGTTCTTCCATGATAATCCATGAAAGCCAATTTACTCCATGCTTTTCTGAGCTCAGATATTACTTTGAGGAGATGCACAGGCAAGAATAATTTCTGAGAAGACCAGGGTATCAGGGCATTGGCAAGAAACAGCACAAGAATCTGGGGGAATTAGCAAGGCAAGGTGCAGGATCCTGGGGCCAGCTGTGACCACTCCTAGGCCTGAAGGCAAAAGGGAAGGGAGCCATTACTGGTACCCAGAAAGGGCAGTGGTATGGAGAGGGGAGCCTCTCAGGAGTTGTGACCTTCAGAGGAGGGATGCAGCCAACCCACAACCAAGGAGGAAGCTGCGAGAATAAACAGATCTTGCTCTTCTCCATTTTCCAGTCTTTTGTACTGTGCCCCATTGGTCAACCCAAACCAAAGCCATTCCATCAAAGGACCCCATTGGTATAGACCGTAAAGATCAGCCTCCCAATTCTCAAGTCACTCTCTAGGGTTAGAGAGTAGATATGGGTGCTGGGAAGGATAGCTTTAAAATGTCTAGTACACCAGGGAAATTCTGAAAACCCTCCTGTGTCCTTGCCCCCCAGTTCTCCCCCTAATTTACTGGAGACCGTTTGTCTGATGCATTGGTCTGGGTGGTGTGCAGAGCACACTAAATTTAAGTTCTTCACACATTGCCAATCTAAAGTGAACTTCCTCCTTTGAATTCACAAAATGCTGCTCTTGTGGCAAATACTAAAAATGTTCTAATTTCTTCGAGTATATGCTTCCTTCACTATTATAATATAAACTCCTTTGAGACAGAAAGGTGTGATTTGTTAATAACCAACATAATCTGTGTACCTACTTACAGTGGGTGGGTATCCTATACATTTGTTATTTCATTTAGTCATCATAACACATAGATGAGGGAATCAAAGCTCAGAGAAGCTAAGTTTCACAACGTGACGCAGCTAATACGGGGCAGATCAGAGATCTAAACTCAGTTCTTTCTGACTCTGAAGTTCAAGTTTTTAGCTACCTTGTCAGACTGTCTCATTCATTTTTGAAATCCCTACAATCCTTAGTAAGGTGCCTCATACACAGCAGGCCTCTGTATGTCTGTTGGATGAATGGATGAACATAGTCTGATGGAATAAAAGCATAATTCTCAGTCTCCATCACTATCCCCTAAGCCAGATTCTCCTGATCTCCTTCATTAATTCTTTTCACAATCAATTATTGGGGCTGTGCTTTCTTAATTACCCCAAAAAGGTAAAAAAGAAACAATAAATGTAGCCTTGGATCTCACACAGTATATTATATTTCTGAGAAAAGCAACACATACAGGTTAAGAGTTGTTATGAACTGAGTTCATAATCAAACAACTATGTATAACATATAAAGAATGACCAGAATTCAGCTATTTCCCAAATGCTCATGCTGAGAAAAACTTAAGCAATGCTCAAAATCATAGTAAGTGCTGGGCAGTCAGAGAACTGGCATTAAAGAAAGGATATTAGATAACAAGGTGAGAATAAAATTGGGAAAGGGACTGTTTTAAGGTGGTAGCCTTTATTACTATGAGAAATGCACATAGGAGGAGGGCACTGGCTCACTGCCTTTCACAAACCAGGATTTCAGTAAGCAATTACTGAGTTTAACATTTGTGTTCATGAAAACATTCATGTAAACTAAATAATACTTCACTCACTCTTGAAAGAATAGCTTTTCTGAGAAATTCTATGGTTAAGAAAATTCTAAAATGAAGACACTCTCTTTAAAAAAAATGAGTTACGGGGCTTCCCTGGTGGCGCAGTGGTTGAGAGTCTGCCTGCCGATGCAGGGGACGCGGGTTCGTGCCCCAGTCCGGGAGGATCCCACGTGCCGCGGAGCGGCTGGGCCCGTGAGCCATGGCCGCTGAGCCTGCGCGTCCAGAGCCAGTGCTCCGCAATGGGAGAGGCCCGCGTACCGCAAAAAAAAAAAAAAGAGTTACTATCAATTTCCCTTCCTCCTTAAAGCAATGACTCAAGTGGCTAACTCACAAGTAAAGGCAAAGGACAAAGGAAATTTCTGACCAAAATCATATTAAGGTCCATGGCCCTCCTAAGTCTGGGGGACTTGATTGGTCTATGGGCTCATAATTAAAGTTCTAACAGGATTCCCTAGATCTCCATAAGGTCTGAGGATGATACTTACCCAGAAAGCACATAGAATATAAATTCTACAATCTGACAAGAGTAAAGGTATGAAAAATCTTTAAAAGGCACATAAGGATTTCCACTTCTGGGAGTACAGTATATAGCAGATGGTATCTTTCTTTTTTCCTCCCATCTGGTCATGATGTTTAAAACAAACATAAGATGACTCTGAGAAAGGAAGAGGGGAAGGTGGACCAGCTAGCAACCTCAGGACCCAAGGAGTGACATAGGAGTAAGTTCTCTGTTTTTTTGTTTTGGTTTGGTTTTTGGTCTTGGGTTTTGGGGTATTTGTGGGGGGTTTGCCTCATGCTTCCCAATCCTAGAGCCAAAAAACTCAGCAACTCAGAAAGCCAAGAAGCACAGACAAAAAAAAGCCCCAACAAAAACCTGCTTTGTCTAGTCAAAGGATCAGAAAAAGTGGAGCTCAGCAGACCAGAAAACTTTTAGATAATAACCACTCTGCTTCAGTCAAACACCACAGAAAAAACTGAGGCCCCACCCACACCAGCAAATGCTGAGTGGGGAGCCTAGATTTCCACCTTGGACAGGTCCTAACAAGGCACCCCAATCCCCTGTCTTTCACCCCCACAGTGGTGTGTCAGAGGGGGCCAGATAGGGAACCTGCAGAGTCGGGGAGACCACGCAGGGAAACTGGACTTGCACTCCTACCCCAGCAGTAATGAGATGTCTTAATCCTGCCCCATGCGGGTAGCATTAGTGGAGGCCTAATAAGAGTCAGGACTTTCACCACTGCCCAGGAGTAATGCGGTCACCCTCGCCCAAGGTAGCAGAAGAAGCCATGTCAGGAGCAGTAATGAGGCACTTTGTCCCCTCCCAGCCAAAATAGTATCAGTGGACGCCTAGTGTAGTCAGAACTCCCATCCGCAATCAGCAGGAATGCAGAGGGTTTCTGCCCTCAGGGGTCAACAAAAGCCAAGTGGAGAACTAGGACTTCTTCACTAATGTAGTAGTTACAAAGTGGTACCCACACCCCTTCCCCTGCCAGAGCAATACCAAAGGAAACCATTGCATTTGTTTCCTAGGACTACCGTAACAAACAACCACAAATTTAGTGGCTTAAAATGACAGGAACTTATTCTCTCACACTTTTGGAGGCCAGAAATCTGAAACCAAGTTGCCAGCAGAGCTACACTCGCTATAAAGGCTCTAGAGGGTAATCCTTCCTTGCCTTTTGTGGCTTCTGGTGGCTCCATATGTTCTTTGACTTATGACAATGTAACTCCAATCTCTGGCTCTGTCTTCACGCAGCTTTCTTCTGTGTGTCTCTTTGTATCCTCTCCTCTATTGATAAGGACAGCATCATTGGATTCAGGACCCACCCTAAGTCCAGAATGGTTTAATCTCAATATTCTTAATTAATTACATCTGCAAAAACTCCATTTCCAAATAAGGTCATATTCTGAGGATCCAGACAGACATGAATTTTGGGGGGACATTATTCGACCTATTATATCAACTAAAACAGAAAGTTTAAATAAGATTCACTGTCTTATAACATAATACCTCAAAATGTCCAGGCTTCAGTCAAAAATTAATCATCATACAGAAAACCAGGAAGATTGTCCTGAAAAAGGGCAATCAATAGATAACACCAAGAAAACAGAGGTATTAGAATTTTATGACAAAGATTTTTTTAAATCATTATAAAAATACTTCAGTAAGCAATTATGAACATACTCAAGCAATGAAAAATTTAAAACCTCAACAAACAAGATATAAAGAAGAACCAAATAGAAACTTTAGAACTGAAAAATACAATTATCGAAACAAATAAAACTAGTGGATGAGCTAAACAGCAGAATGGAGGGTACGGGGAAAGAATCAATGAACTTGATAATAGAACAACAGAAATTACCCAATTTGAACAACAGAAAGAAAACAGACTGAAAAAAAAAAAAAAAGATGAACAGATCATTAAAGATCTGTAAGACAATAATACAAGATTTCCAATAACCCAATGATCATGTAATTGGAGTCCCACAATTAGAAGAGGAAAAAATGCAGGGCTGAAAAAATATTAGAAGAAATAATAGCTGAAAACTTCCTAAATTTGGCAATGGACAGCAACCTACAGATTTAAGAAACTGAGCAAACTCCAAACAGGATAAACCCAAAGAAATCCATAGCAAGACATTTCATAGTCAAACTTCCGAAAACTGAAGGAAAAAGAAAATCTTGACAGCAATGAGAGAGAAACAATAACTCACCTATAGGGGAAAAGCATTTTGAATGATAGTGGATCTCTTATTTAAAAACTACAGAGGCCAAAAGGGAGAAGCACAATATTTTCCAAGTGCTAAAAGCAAACACTGTCAAGTAGAATCCTACACTTAGTGAAGGTATCTTTCAGAAAGATTGATCAAACGATGTAATTCACTGTATTAATAGGATAAAGAAGAAAAATCACGTGATTCTATAAAGTAAGGTGGAAAAAAAACATTTGATAGAATTCAACATCCAAGCAGGATAAAAACTCTCAGAAAAATAATAACAGAAGGTCACATCCTCAAGTTAACAATAATCTACAATAGAGTCACAGCTAACACTATGATGGTGAAAGACCAAATGCTTTCCTCCTAAGACTGGGAACAAAACAAGGATATCAACTCTCACCACTCTTATTCAACATAGTGCTGGAAACTCCAGCTTTACCTCAGTGACTGAGAGTAGCCTCTATCCTGCTCTCCTTGGCTCCAGTCTTGGCAGCCTAACCAAATTGTTTACCTGGAGAAGCATCCTTGATGATTTTCTTTTTTGTACATCTTTATCCAATCCAATAGCAAAATCTGTTGCTCTGCCTTCAAAACGGATCCAAAACACAACCACCTCCCTACCTCCACTGTTCTGTTCAAAGTCACCACTATTTCCTTCCAGACCAAGGCAACAGATTCCCCAGTGGGGCCCTTCTTCACCTTTATCCCTTAGAAGCCAAAGTGATTCTTTTAATGTATAAATCAGACCACATCATTCAACTCTCCTATGGTGCCACACCACTCAAAGGAAAAGCCAGAATTCTTACAACTACTACAGGGACCTGCAGGAACTGGCCCCCATCACCTCTTAGACCTTGCCTGACTCATCACCTTGTTCACTTCACTCAGCCACACTGGCCATCCTGATTAGTACCCACCAAGCACACTCCTGTCTCGGGGCTTTAAAACATGTTTTTTTCTAAGTCTCTTTTCATTTGCTATTTCCTCTGCCGGGAATGGGTCTGCAAGCCTCCAGCTGGCACCTTCTTAAGGAGACTTCACGGACCATCTCTTACAATATACAGCCCATGTCCGCCTGGCACATCCCATGCCCCACTCTGCTTTCCTTTCCTCCATGTCCCTTAGAACCATCTGACACATCATTTATCCCAGGCTACATATTGATCATCTGTGTCCCCTCTTTAAAATGTAAGTTCTCAGAGGGCAGGACCTTATCTATTTTGTTTCCTAATCCCAGCTCTGTCTCTACTGCCTAGAAGAGTGTCTGGCACATACCAAACACTTGTAAGCATTAGCTAAATAAACAAATAAGTTAAAATAATATCTTATACATGTCTTTCTCCTTCCTTCCTTCCTTCTGACCTTCGTTCTTTCCTTCCTTCCTTTCTCCCTTCCTTCCTTCCTTCCTTCTTTGCTTCTGTACTTTTTTCTTTCCCTTCTTAAATAAATGTGCAAATGCCTACTGGTCATGCAAGGCAGAACACTGGATTCTGGCAAAATATGGGTGAATAGGTCAGTTTTCTGCAAATATCCAGGCATGTAAACAAAATATCACATGAGAAGCAGACGGCAACTCAGTTTACAAAAGTTTCACTAGTGTAAATCTGTGCAAGTTTCTATAAAAATGAGCAGAGGAAAGGAAGAGAGAGGCATCAGGAACACAAAAGCTCCCAAGATTTCTAAATTGATTATTTTGCATGTCCACGTAATGCTTTACTCTTGAGAGTGATGATAATTCTTGTCTCCTTTCCCTGACAGCTAGAGTCCTCAGGAATGCCTCCTAACATCCTAGAAACAGAGGGTACATGACTCTCCACCCTCAGACAATTTCTCTGTGCAAGAAGACTATGGAGAGGTAGGTGGCAGAGTAATTCTTACTTAGGTCATGAGTTTTCACAAATCATGTGTCACAATAGGAGCTTTTCTCGGGCCCCTCTTTCATCTGACTCTCTCTGAAGGCAGAGGCCAGTCTGATGTTTGCTTTCAAACCCCTGCTTTCAGAACTATGAAAAGTTCCCATTAAGTCTCTGCCCCATGGGGTGTAAGGGGATAGGTTTTCACCCATCTGCAAGGACAGTCTTGCCTGCTGCTCCCATCTTGGTATAAATCATGGATCAGAGCTGGAGTATGTCCAGCCAATCCAGCAGTCCTGTACAAACTAAACACCCTTAACGTCTCTTCATGCTGAAGCCAGACTGCTGGGTAATAAAAGCACAGTCAAATGCCAACTCACACGCAAGAGTTGTTATTCCAGGCAAGTACCTTGTTCCAGTCAGCCCAAGAAGTGGGAAACATTATTCATTTAGCTCTAAATGCAATTTATTTTCTGAACTTGTTTCAGCTTGATCCTCTCGCATTTTATTCTCCATAATAAGTTTAGATTCTGTTCTACTTGAGTCCACAAAACCTCAGGGGTGTCTCTGACAAGTTACAGAGAGTGGTGATGAGCAACTCAAAAACAGAAGCATGTTTGAGACATCCAGAAACAGAACCCAACTCCACAAGGCAAAATGCAGCTCTGAGGAAAGAGCCTGGAGCAGATGGAGAAAGAGACAGAGCAAAAGGAGTGAGAGATCACCAAGGCACTGCTACTCTGTACAAACTAACTCCACTGACCCCAAAGCTTCAGTTGGCCCTAACATGCGGGGCCCTTGGAAGCAGCACGCAGAGACTGGTTTTTTACCTCTTCCTTGGCTCCTCAGTTTCTCCACCCTTTCTCCTCCCTGTATAGCGAGCTGACCTCATACTTTTCCACTTCTCTATGTCAACACTTCCACAACACAGGCACACTGGGCTCTGTGCTGAAAAATAACAATACTGTGTGAAATGAGTTGATGGCTGACAGTTGAGGCTTGTTAAAACAAAACCAGAAAATATCCCATGTATGTTCTTAATCAGAGAAGTTAGGTAACTTAGCTAAATTTTCACAGCAACAGACCTGGAATAGGGTCTCCTGAATCTAAGTCCTGTGGAGATCCTCTTTTTAATACCCTTGTAGCTGTCCCTCTCTTTTATTTCTTACATCTTTCTTCTCTCTCTCACTCTCTCTCTCTTTCACCCGTTTCCTCTATGGTTTTCTCTAACTTTCTCATGATATTATTTTATTTTGCTTTTGAATTTTAAAAAGCAATTATCAAGCACTATATTATTTTATGTATTTTTTTCTTCAGTTGCTTTTAAGTATTTCCCTTTCTATTTAGTGTTCTGCAATTTCACTTTAGTGGATCCAAAGTTTAGTGGATACAAAGTTATTATTATCCTCAATTTAAAGATTCCTTTCTTCCATAATTCTGGAAGATTACCAGCCAATATGTTTAGAACATTGGCTCGTCCAACTCTGTTTGCTTTCTGAAATTTCTTAGACCTTCTCATTTTTATCTTCCATGTCTCTCAGCCTTTCTTTTGTGATGTCCACTTTTCTCTAAGTCATGTATCCTAGGTTATGTCCTCAAGTATGTTTCCAATTTTCTTAAATTCATCAACTGTGTCTAAAAATGCTGCTTAGCTTGCCTATTGTGGTTTTCATTTCAATAGATATGTTTTCTTTTGAATTTCTAAAAGATGTATTTGCTTTATTTTCTTAAACATGCCTGTTGATTTTCATAGTTTCCTATTATATTTTCATGGTTTTGATTCTTTCTTTCATTTTTGGTCATTTTAAAGCTCCATAATTTGAAGCATCTTTCAGATTGTTCTATCATCTCAAAATTCTTATGGGCTAACAGTCCTGATTATTGGAATTTTGGTTTCCTTCATGGTGTATCATTTCCTTGTGTAGGGTATACATGTTAGCAGCAGCAGCAGCAGAAGTCCAGTGCTCCTGGGTTGTGAAAGTATTGCTAAAGAGTGCTTCTGGGACTTCCCTGGTGCTGCAATGGTTAAGAATCCGTCTGCCAATGCAGGGGACATGGGTTTGATCCTTGGTCCAGGAGGATCCCACATGCCATGGAGCAACAAAGCCCATGCACCACAACTACTGAGCCTGCGCACCACAACTACTGAAGCACGCATGCCCTAGAGCCCCTGCTCTGCAACAAGAGAAGCCACCGCAATGAGAAACCCGCATACCACAACGAAGAGTAGCCCCCACTTTTCACAACTAGAGAAAGCCCTCCCACGTCAACGAAGACCCAACACAGCCAAAAAAAAGAATTCACACACAGCCAAAAAAAAGAATTCAAAAAAAAAAAAAACCCAGAGTGCTTCTGCATTGCTTTCTTCTGGGTAGAAAATGAGTTTCACCAGGGCCTGTCTTTAAATTAATTTATGTACTTCCTTCATACCTAGCTGGTATTGTACACTTGCAGCAGAAGTCTGGGGCTTCGGTGTGTCTCAGGAGACTACTTTCTTCCCCAACAAGCTCTAAGAGACAGAATTTTCCTTTCTGCTTCTCTAAGCTAGAAGGCAGGTCCTTTTACTTGTGCTGTCAGTGAGGGAAACACCCCTACCAGCCTCACATCCTATTTATATACCAGCCTCTACACTTGCCTTTACTGCACACAAACACAGGGTGCATCGCCCATCTCTATAGATCTCCACTTGTAAATCCAGTTCTGTTCTTACATCCATACATCTCTCACAAGCTGATTCCCAGACAGTCAAACAGGCCAACTATTTCTTTTTTATTTCTGTCACATGCTTGGATGTGTCTTCCTTTTAAATTATGATTTTTAAAAAATTATATTTTGAAAAACGTTGTAAAAATAGTTCAAAAGATTCCTGGGTACTCTTCACTTAGATTCCCCTAATTCTTAATATCTTACCACACTTGTTTTATTACTCTCTATATACATATGATTATTAAACTGTGATATTTTGATACCATTGTTTTAGTTCTTGTTCTGGAGAAGAACCACAATAAGCATTAACTTGGTCTCCCATATTTAGGGCTAGAAGTTCTACGGGTAAGGGTTGGAGGGAGGAAATGAGGAGTACAAATATCCACAAGCCAGGAGCTCAGCTCAGTGCTTCAAATACTTGGTCTACAGAATAATAAAACATCGTGTACTATGAGCCTCAATTTTAAGAAAGAGAAAATCATGAGGTTAAAAGTAAACACTTGTTCAAGTTCACATAGCTATGAAGTACATGTAAGGATGAAGCCAGGATTCTAACCAGATCCTTCTTTCTTTGGGATTGCCTGAATTCTCAGGGAGCCAAATCACAACACACCCCATCTGAAGCACACCGCATCTGACAGTTGCCAAGACTCCTATCATATGACCAGAGTGTACATAAATGAGAATAGGTGTGCTTTTTCCATCAGCAAGTAATTAGGCAAGTCACACCTGCCTGAGGTTCATTTGTAGATACATTATTCTGGCTCCTTTCTGAATTTTATATCTGTCTCTTTGGCAATTAACAGACTCAGCTGAATTTTCTATGACTCACCTCAAAATGCCATATGTTCAAGAAAGGTACTGGTATAGCAAAAGCAGTTGACAAGTCTAGGAAAACATAAGCAAACACTAAGTATACAAACATTTCTACTGAGTGCATATGCCTAAGATTATCTTCTCTTATGGGGATTCCATTACTTCTCAGAATAAATAAGCAAAGCCAAACTAATTTCCAGTGACATTTGCATTCATTCCAGAATTTCTGCATCCGAAGAGTAAAATTTATCATCAGAGAATGAGTCAGAGGTGTTGTAAACTTCAGCTTCCTGAGTAAAGTACAACACATCTAGCTATCACATATTAAGGACAAATTTAGTGTTTGGAATGTCACAAATTTGTTAGATAAGAATTCAGTGGGTTCTAGCTCCATGAAACAAAAAGTTTATGACCTAAGTCTCCATTTATCCCCCAGTCTTTCCACTTCCTTGTCCTACCACCCTCAATGTTAGGTCAGTCCATCCACTGACTTTCTCAACTCCAGGAGACCTGCTGAGTACTGCTGGGGAGAAGTACCCATCCACATAGACTGAAGCCCCAGAAACCCATGATCTCCCTTATCACTGGTCTTTAAGCCCCTCTCTGTCATCCATCTCTCTATCATTAGTCAATTTTTTCTCCCATTCCCTTGAATGACCATTTCTACTTTGACCAATCTCCTCAAATTATTCTCCCATCTTACAAGCCATCAGTGGATGACCTCATATTACTCCACACAGACTATCAGGGCTATGAGGAGTGACCTCCTTCAACTTCTTACTTCCCATATCCATAAACTTATCTTCATTTGCTCCTAAAACCCACCTTCTTCCCTTCAGTGTAAAGGCAGAGGTTCCTTTCCAAACGTTCATGATTAATCTATCCTAATCCATTTCTAGCTTCTCTGGAATATTTCATTCCAAGTTTAGGCTGTGCTTTAAGTCTTGTTTATCTCAAAACTGGGTTCTTCTCCACCCAAAAGTGTTTTAGAAGTTTCTCAAACACTTCCTCCTTTAAATGAAACAAGCAAAAAAAAAAGAAAAATCAAACACAAAAAGTCAGTGTATACCACTCGTGTATACCATTATTGCCTTAATGGTCTCTTTCCTTTAACAATCAAGTTTCTCAAAAGACGACACCCATTTTCTTCTTTCCCACTGGCCAAACTTCCCTAGCCAAGGAAACAAATCTTTTCTTCTCTTGCATCTTCAACTTTAACTTGGCTTCACTGCAACATTTGATAACTTTATTTATGTTGCAGAGTAAACCAAAAACCATTCTCTATATCCCTCTCCCTTCTATTTGGAAGAAAATACATAACTAAAAATAAATTTCACAGAACTTTTTTTCACTAGCCCTAGATGTCTAAGCTAGAGACACTCATAGATGGTAATAACCCAATAATTCTGTGTTTCTTGCTTCACAAGGAGACAGGAAACTATCTTCTCAATAGAAGGGGTTTCCACTGTTCATATAAGACTGAACTGTGTTGCCCTGACCAGAAAAAAAAAAAAAAAGAAAAACTGCTGGGCTTCCCTGGTTGAGAGTCCGCCTGCCAATGCAGGGGACACGGGTTCATGCCCCAGTCTGGGAAGATCCCACATGCTGTGGAGCGGCTGGGCCCGTGAGCCATGGCTGCTGAGCCTGCGCGTCCGGAGCCTGTGCTCCGCAACAGGAGAGGCCACAACAGTGAGAGGCCCGCGTATCACAAAAAAAAAAAAAAAAAGAAAAACTGCTCACCTTGACAAAGTGTGCTAGCTTCCTATGTAATAGTGAGGAAATCAACTATAGCACTTGCTGGTGGAGAGAATGAATGAAAATTGGAGCATCAAGCTGCTTTCAACCGTGAGACCGCACTTTTCTCATTTGGATTTCAGAAAAACTCTCTAGCACCTACCCGAACCCTATGTGATTAAGCCTGGAAGATACAGGAGTTCAGGGAGCAAAACTTCTTGCTCAGGTAGGAAGGCCTTTTCTCAAGGAGAAAGTGGGATACTACCTTCGGGGGCTTGAGTGTAGAACATTCAGGAGAAAAATGGAAGAAATTAAGAAGTGATAATTGAAGAAAGAAAGTATTCATGTGAGGCACCATCCTTTCAAAGACATACATCTACATCGGGTGCTTCCCATCTGGATTGGATGCAGGAGAGCAACTAAACCAGATGAAACAGTAACATCTCCTCCCTTCCCCCAACACACACCTTGTAACTCTGTGAGATCTATATAATCTATTAGAAAAATATCATCCTACATTTCCACTATAATCCAGTGTTTTGCCTGGTGAAATGAACCAGGAGGTACTAAGAAAAAGGACATTAACTCATCTGTGCTCATCTTGCTAGGAGGTTGGGAGATGGCTGGCTGTTCGGCAAAGATTGGACTGTGGGACTGGCCAACTCAGCAACAAAGCAGTGCCAGGCTGGCAACAACCTGTGTCCATCTCTCATAGAAGCCCTGGCTGCTGTCACAAGCTCCAAACAGATCTGCAAGTCCACTAAATGCTATCCTCTTCCCACACACTCTCAGGACCTCAAAGGTTATACCTAACAGGTTTAACACCTAATAGTAATTCATTTGCCTTCCCCCCAATACATGCTGCTCTTGCTGAATTTAGAGGTTTAAAAAATAGCACCCCCATAATCTACCCATGAATGTCATTTGCAATCTCTCCTCTTTCCCTACCCAAACATTTCTTCTTCTCTGTTCCCATTTATACTCATTAGCTTCTATTCACACTCTCACAAAAATCACCGAGTGATCTCCCTACCTCTCTCTCTGGTGAGCTAACCCTCCAATCTATCCTGTCCACAAGTGGCAATATGGCATTTCTAAAATCCTAGTTGTCAATAACTTTTTTTATTCAAAACCCTTCAAAGGCTCCACACTAATACTTCTTATCCTGGTCTACTGTGTCCCCCAAGATCTGTCACCTGCCTACTTGTCCAATGTCATTTACTGCTACTCTCCCTCTTCCCCCCTTTATTGCAGTCACCCTGGCTTCCTGTTCATTCCTGGAACACACTAAGCTCATTCCTGCTACATGGCTTCTCACAGGCTGTTTTCTCTGCCTGTAACTCTCTAACCCTTTCCCCAAACTCCATCCCACCTCATCCCGTGTTCTCAAATGGAAAATTCTTGTTAGGGCATTGGCTTAAATGTTGTCTCTTCAAAGAGGCCATCCTTATCTAAATCATATACTACCACAACCACCCCACCTTATTTTTTATCCCTGCAACCTACTTATTTTCCTTATGGCTATTATCACATTATGTGACTGTTCCCTTATTTGTTTCCTGGTTTATTGACTGTCTCCCCTTAGTCTGAAAGCTCCAAAAGGTCAGAGACCACATCTATATACTTAACACCTGATATAGTCCCTGACACCTAGCAGGTGCCCGATACAAATTGGTTGAATAAATGATGAATGAATTAATGAATGAACGCAAGCTATGAGATGTTCACAGCAGCCTCACACAAGTGGACCTTTACTACAATGATCTCTCACCTTAGAGACAGCCCTTTGTCCACTTTAGCATCCTGAGGAACACCCACACTGCATCCATGCCTT